TTGTAGGAGCCTATTTTTTTTTTTTACGGAATTGTAGGTTGGTTCCCAGTCCCTTCGGTCATTGGGAAATTTTGGTTTCTGGCCTCTTGATCCCTATCATCTCTTCTCAAGTTGTATGAAGTTGCCTCCACCACTTTCCCCTTTTTCATTTCCCCAAACTCACAACTAAGGGACAAATAAAAAATTTTTCTACAATTAGAAAAAAGTATTTAAAAACTTAGGTATTTCGTTTCCCAAATCATGTTTGTCTATGAAAAAAAAAATACAATATTTCAAACATAAGAAAAACAAAAAGTAAATAAATTAAAAGGGAATTAATATTTTTTATGTAAATGTAAGGAACGATTTAGGGAATATGTAAACATTTTCTCAAGCCCGGTTTGTTGACTTTAGTCCTGGAGGGGAAGTACAGGTCTGCACTCTAAAGGAAGGGGTTTGGGGAAATTTTCTGTTTAGGTGAGTTAATCTGTCGTATTGCGCACCACTAGCAAGATAGTTATAATGTGAATAATGTTAAAAGTGTTTCTTTTTCGAGTCACCCTACCTCGGTGGGAGACTGCCAGCGTGTTAAAACAAATTCTCGACAGATTAATTATTATTATTATTATTATTATATGCACAAGAAAGCGATGAATCCGTAAGGGTCATACAGCACTTGAGGAATGGGAGGTAATGAAGTTTGATCTCAGGGAAGGGAGGGTAGCTCCAATTCCTTGGAGCAAGAACCCATCACTAGCATCAAGGTACCTCGTTTCCTCCAAAGGATTTCTCCCCAGCACTGTCCATGACCCCACTGATGAAACACAATGCTTTCATGGCCTCGTGGCTACCAACCACTACTCAGAGGGTTCAAGGTTCGATACCAGGAGGAGTGACAGAGTGGGAGGTTATCAGTGACGAAGCCACTTAAGTGTACGCACTGCCGCTTGATGTATTAAGTGTGTCAAGCGTCACCACTTGCATCAACTTCGCTAAATTCTGTTATGTTACTCAGGTGGTGAGTCTGAGCTGAATTTGAGTGAGATTCTTGGAGGGGGTTTCAGGGGTCGACGCCCCCGCAGCGTGGTCCATGACCAGGCCTCGTATAGGTTACATTTGAGAAAGACATGCCTAGCATGGGCCAGTAGGCCTACTGAAGTACTCCTCTGTTACATTCTTATGTTCTTATACGTTAAGACATTCATATTTACGCAATTCAGAGCTGGATTAAGATTTTGTAGGACCATGGGCTACAGGTGGGGCCCCTGGGCTACAGGTGGGGCCCCTGGGCTACAGGTGGGGCCCCTGGGCTACAGGTGGGGCCCCTGGGCTACAGGTGGGGCCCCTGGGCTACAGGTGGGGCCCCTGGGCTACAGGTGGGGCCCCTGGGCTACAGATGGGGCCCCTGGGCTACAGATGGGGCCCCTGAGCCACAGGTGAAGCTCCTGGGCCACAGGTGAGGCCCCCAGTGATATTTTCAAAAGGAAAAAAAAAGTTGAAAGAAAGAATAAATTTATTTTTACAAGGTTAACCACGATTAAAATTCAAACATTTGCTTGACGTAATTTCTTGGAGACAAATTGTCACCACTTTTCGCTTAATCTCTGGAGGCCCTCCAGCTGGTGGAGGTCCTTTGGCTTCAGTACCTGGAGGCCCTCCAGCTGGCGGAGGCCCCTGGATTGCAGCGCTTAAAGCCCGAGCCTTAATCCGGCCCTGTTACGCATACATACACATCCACACTCACGCACACACACACACACACACACACACACACACACACAACACACACACACACACACACACACACACACACACACACAAGGGAGAAGCAGGAAGGCCAGGACGAATGAAACCAAACTACAAGAAAAGGACTACAAAGGAATGAAGAACTTCCTGAACGGGGTTCAGTGGGACAGAGAACTGGCAGGGAAGCCAGTTATTGAGATGATGGAATATGTAGCAACAAAATGCAAGGAGGCTGAGGAGAGGTTTGTACCCAAGGGTAACAGGAATAATGAAAAAGCCAGGATGAGCCCATGGTTTACCCAAAGGTGCAGGGAGGCAAAAACCAAGTGTGCTAGGGAATGGAAGAAATATAGAAGGCAAAGGACCCAGGAGAATAAGGAGAGCAGTCGTAGAGCCAGAAACGAAGGGGCTCCAGAAAGACGGAGAGGTGGGGCACACCACCATGTGCTGGACACAGTGCACACAACTGAGGAAGAAGTGAAGAGGCTTCTGAGTGAGCTAGATACCTCAAAGACAATGGGGCCAGATAACATCTACCCATGGGTATTGAGAGAGGGAGCAGAGGCGCTATGTGTACCCCTAACAACAATATTCAATACATCTATCGAAACAGGGAGATTGCCTGAGGCATGGAAGACAGCAAATGTAGTCCCAATCTTTAAAAAAGGAGACAGACATGAAGCATTAAACTACAGACCAGTGTCACTGACATGTGTAGTATGCAAATCATGGAGAAGATTATCAGGAGAAGAGTGGTGGAACACCTAGAAAGGAATGATCTCATCAACAGCAGCCAACATGGTTTCAGGGACGGGAAATCCTGTGTCACAAACCTACTGGAGTTCTATGACATGGTGACAGCAGTAAGACAAGAGAGAGAGGGGTGGGTGGATTGCATATTCTTGGACTGCAAGAAGGCGTTTGACACAGTTCCACACAAGAGATTGGTGCAAAAACTGGAGGACCAAGCAGGGATAACAGGGAAGGCACTACAATGGATCAGGGAATACTTGTCAGGAAGACAGCAGCGAGTCATGGTACGTGGCGAGGTGTCAGAGTGGGCACCTGTGACCAGCGGGGTCCCACAGGGGTCAGTCCTAGGATCAGTGCTGTTTTCTGGTATTTGTGAACGACGTGACGGGGAAAGGGAATAGACTTGAGGTGTCCCTGTTTGTAGGGGCGTGAAGTTGATGAGAGAATTCCTCGATTGAAGACCGGGGCGAACTAAAAAGGGATTGGACAGGCTCAGACTGGTCCGCAATTGGCTCCTGGAGTTCAATCCCCCAAAGTGAAAAAGTTGAGTTGGGGGGAAGGGGAAAAAGACGACCGCAGAGGAGTACTCTGGGGGGGGCCAGGGGACTACAAACTCATAAAGGGAAAAAAAAATTTCTTGGGGGATTTAAAACCAGGCAAAATCTCCTGAAGCGCACATCAACCAAAAAAAGCTGCAGCATAGGGGCCCCCTAGAAAACCCTCAGAAAGCATTCCGACTTCTTAAAAAGGGAATCTTTGGGGGCCCTGTACCCGTGTATGTTGGCCCATATTGGGTTGCGGACCAGTTTGGAACCCACACCTACCCAAAGAGTGAAGAAACTGGGAAAGTGCAAAGGTTTGCAACAAGACTAGTCCGAGCTAAGAGGTAGGGCCCTACGGGAGGGGTTAAGGGAAATCAACCTGACGACAGGAGGAGGAGAGATAGGGGGGGACATGTAACGACATAAAAAAATACTGAGGGGAAATTGACAAGGGGGGGAAAAGACAGGATGTTCCAGGTTTGGGGACACAGTAAAAAGGGGGACACAGTTGGAAGTTGAAGACAAGGGAAAAAGAGGGAAATTTTTTCCCCAAGAGGCGAAATGGAAAAGTTTGGGAAGCGATGTGTGGGGCAGGTCCAACATGCTTTTAAGGGAGGGATGAATCACGGTTCAGGGAGTGACTTTCCCCGGAAAGGGGGGGGCCAGGGTCGGACCGACCCCCCCACCTAACTTGGGATAGATATTTATAAAAATAAATTAAATTTTTTTAAAAATTTTTTACAAAACCGCATTTTTAACCAACCCCAAAATTTATCAAAAATTATACCATTAAAATTTAAATTAAAAGTTTAATATTTAAATTTTTACGCCCTTTAATTTTTGGGAATTTTTTGGGTTTAAGGAGGGGCTTTGGGGCCCCCCCCCCTAAACCCCTTTCCCCCCCAAAAAAAAACCCCCCCCCCTTAAAAAAACCCTTTTTAAAAACCCCCCCCCCCCAAAAAAAACCCACCCCCCAAAAATTCCCCCAAAACCCCCCCCCAAAAAAAAACCCCAAAAAGAAAACCCCCCCCCCAAAAAAAAAAAAAAAGGGCCCTTTAAAAAAAACCCCCCCCAAAAAAATTTTCCCCCCCCCCCCAAAAACCCCAAAACCCCCCCCCCCCCCCCCCAAACCCATTGACTTAGAAAAAAACGGGAAAATTTTTAAAATTTTTAAAAAAATTTTAAAAAAATTTTTTCTTTTGGGAAAAAAAACCCCAAAATTTTTTAGCCCCCAAAAATACGAATTCTTGAAAACCCCCTAAAACCCCGTTTGAGGGGGCCCCCCCTTAAAACCCCCCCCGTTCCCCCAAAATTTGGTATTTTTAAAATTAAAACAAATTTTCCCCCCCCTTTGGGGGGGGAAACCCCCAAACCCCCCCCCTTTTAAGTTTCAAGGGCCCCCGGGAAATTTGTGGAAAAAATCCCTGGGCTACAGGTGGGGCCCCTGGGCTACAGGTGGGGCCCCCAGTGATATTTTCAAAAGGAAAAAAAGTTGAAAGAAAGAATAAATTTATTTTTACAAGGTTAACCACAATTAAAATTCAAACATTTGCTTGACGTAATTTCTTGGAGATAAATTGTCACCACTTTTCACTTAATCTCTGGAGGCCCTCCAGCTGGT